CGCACACTTGTCCAGCCTGGGGATGAAGTCCAGCAGTGGCGACACCTACCTGCTTGGTCACACACTGGTACTGCAGGGCACATGGTGTCTGTGGATCTTGGGCCTCTCTGTCAGGGTGCCTCTCTGGTCAGTGTGCACTCGGCCAGGCTGGGGAGGGAGTCTGGTGGTGGCGAGGCCTACCTGCTCAGTTGCACCTTAGGTCATTTTTTAAACAAAGTACATGTCGAGTGATAGATATATTGTTAACAAATTCAAAAGCATCTTCCATCTGAGGACCTCTTGCCAAGCTAATGAAGGCTCGGCCTTGAAGTAAAGATAAATCACAGCTAGAGCAGATGGACTGCGTGCCCACCTCCTTGTGTGTTTCACAATTACCCTGTCCAGTAGGCACTATTGTTATCCCCATTTTTTACAGATGAAGAAACAAAGACTTAGAGAAATTAAGAAAATCACCAGTTCATAGGAGATATCTGAGTCCAGGACTGGGCTCTTAGCCTCTATTATACACTTAGCACTTCTTAAAGATGAAAGCTGAGGTTGTTATATTCTGACACACTATGTGAAATAGTTATTTAACATCTGCACTGGAAAAACAGAGACCCACTCAAAGTGTATTTTTTTAAAAGAGGGATTCAGCCCACACGAAGTTCAGGCTGCTGACACTGACCTCTCCTCCCCCAGGCAAAAAGTAGAGTACTCTTCAGTAAAAGTATCGACCATGCTGTTGATGGTTCTGAATGTTTATAATGTGCATGGTGGGATCCCACAGGGAAATCCTACTCTTGCTGGCACCGAGAAGCCCTCAGCTTGAGGGCTGGCTCCTTGTGCATTCACCCTGATAGAAGGCCTGACCTAAAATGGGCTATCCATGTGCTGTGGGTTGAAAGCTTGTCCCCTCCAAAGCTCATGTTAGAACTTCACCCACAATATGGTATTTGAGAGGTGGGGGGTTTATAAGGTGATTGGATCAGGAGGACTACGCCCTCATGAATGGATTAATCCATTCATGGATTAAGGGGTTAATGGTTTAATACATTATCAGGGAGCAGGCTGGGGCCTTTATAAAGACAGCAAATGATCACGTAAAATGCACTCTGCCCACTCCTCACCATGTGATTCCCTCATCGCCTGCAGGACTCTGTAGAGAATCCCCCACAAGAAGGCCCTCACGAGAGGTGCCCCCTGGATCTTGGACTTCTTGGCCTCCAAAACTGTAAGAAATAAATTTTATTTTCTCATAAATTACCCAGTTTCGGGCCGGCCCGGTGGCGCACTGGATAGTGCGCCGCTTGGGAAGCGCGGCGGCGCTCCCGTCCGAGGGTTCGGATCCCACATACAGACCGGTTCCCGCTCACTGGCTGAGCGAGGCGCGGGAGCAACACCGAGGCTTGCGATCCCGTTGCCGGTCCCCGGTCTGGTACGGGGGCAACACTGAGGGTTGCGATCCGTTGCCGGACACGGAAAAAAGACAAAAAAAAAAAAAAAATTACCCAGTTTCAGGTATTCTATTCTAAACAACAGAAAACTGACTGAAACAGACCTCATATGAAATAAACTGTCAAAGCTTCCACAAGTTGTAAAAAAATTTACTCCATTTGACCTTGAGGCTAGGAAGGTAGTTCTTGCACATAGACTCCCTTAAGAGCATAATTTAAACCAGTCGGGAAGATGTAATTCCAGCAGACAATCTGACCCAACTCTGAACAGTATTACAGTCATAAAAATGTAAACACCTTTAATGGGAGTTAAATTCGTGAAGTCAACTTATGAGAAAGCTCAGAAGATCTGGCTGTGTAGGCAGGACAGAATGTAAATATTAGTGACCTTAACTGAGTACAAGTAAAGGCATAGCTGGTGACAGAAGGATGTAAAAGGCAGAGCGAAAAGATGGGTAAGAAGACGTACCAGTGTGTATCTTAGAGCGTAGAGATGAAGAGACATTATCCATATCTGATGGAATACCGTACAGACACTTAAGCACACTGTTCCTTGGTATCCCAGGCAATTGGTTCCAGGACCTGCCCCTATCCCAAAATGCACAGATGCTCAACTCTCTGATATAAAATGTCATAGTATTTGTTTCTGTCATAGGCAATCCACCCCTAAGCTTTAAATCATTTCTAGGTTACCTATAATATGTAATATAATGTAAGTGCTGTGTAAATAGTTGTTATATTGTATTGTTTCTTATTTCTGTTCTTTTAATTGTTGTATTATTATTTTTATTGTTGTTTCCCATGAATATTTTCCATCTGCAGTTGGTTGTATCAGGGATGTGGAACCCACGGGTAAGGAGGGACAACTGTATTTTTTATACAATGATACTCAAACTATTTCAAAAACACTAAATCATCAATAATTAGGAGGAGAGTAGTGAGGTAGTATACAGTCAGCTAAACTCACATCATTCCTATGGCGAGGCCCACAGACAGTGTCAGAAGTGAGTATATCAAGAAATAAGATGTCGGCTAATCCCCTGGCATTATGGGTGTAACCATCAGCAAAACCCAACCAGAAAATGTTCAAGAGGCTGTCTCTGAGAGGTAATGGCAAAGGTGATGGTAAAAGATGAGATAAAAGTAAAAAGTTAAAAATTCCATTAAAAACAAAGAAAGAGGGCTGGTCAGCTCAGTTGGTTCCAGCATGGGGCTGATAACACTAAGGTCCAGGATTCGATCCCCATGCCAGCCAGCCACCAAAAAACCCACAAAAACCAAAAACCGTAAACGAAGAAAGGAGAAAACACTGTAAATGTACACTTGGAAATGCAACGTAAGTGGAAAGTTGTCAGGAATTGAAGTGGATTTCTGTGTCCCTGTTTCCATGCACGCACACACACACACACACACACACACCTTTTCCCTGCCTTCTGCTATCTGCTTACTCTTAGTTTCTGCTTCCTTGTAATTCAGTTTGCCATAACCCCTGTATCAGTCAAGGTGCAGGTAGGAGAGGAATTAGATCCTGAGTCATAAAGAGAGTTAATGGAGGAATTCTTGTTAAAGGCGAGGCCAGGTGAGAGGAAACCAAGGAGGGCTGGGGAGCAGCCTGGGCTGCGGGAGCCTGCAGAGAGGCCCCTGCAGGGGCTGAGGCCTTCAGAAAGGAGTGAACCCCTGCCAACCACAACCAGGCGGGAGGCGCCAGCCAAGAGAGACCTCACGCCTCCCCTTCTGCTGGAGGGTAAGGGGCCCCCGCCTCCCAGGCCAGGGCAAGGTGGAGAGGTGGCCCCGAGATCTGGAGGGGCGAAGAGAGGACACGCAGCAACCCCTTGCGGCCTTGGCCGTACCCTGCGACTTCTCGCTATATGTCCCTTTGAGTTCTTTTAGTCGCTCAGTAGCTCCCACCTCAGTGTTTCAGCGCTGCAGTCCTTGCACAGGCTGATTAGCTGGCCTTGGGTCAGCTGCCTGGCCCAATCAGCTGTACTGGAAATGGACCACAAAACATTCTCACTCTCGGTAGAGCAGCTTCCGCGTCGGCAGGTCTAGTACAGATGCAAGTGTGTGCGTGTGTATAGCATATAAATTAAGCAATTGTAACATTGTAATTGGTTTGCCTCTGGGCTCAGATGATAATAGTACCACTTACCATCCAGCTACCTTCCACCATAGGATGTAAATATTACATTCTATACCACAGAATGTAAATGTTACACCATAGGATGTAAATATTACATCCAGGTGTGACGACATCACTTTGTAGGTAACGTCACAGCTACTCTGTACCGAGGCCTGATTAGCATGCTATGTTCCAACTGAGGAAGGCACACAGCAGAGGTTAATCAGTCGGCCAGAAGATGTCCAGTGATGGGCAAATGGGGGAGGTTGGGTTTCACCCAGCCCAGGTAGCCCGACTGCAGACCTGAGCTGCTGAACGCCATTCTTGCCCTACTTATGAAAACAAAAATGAATATAATCTTTTTAAAGGGCTTATCTCTGGGGGGAGTTCCCTTCTCCCCATCGGTGTTTCCAAAAGTCATGTTATAGCAGCACTACCGTCATTGCAAGATGTTACCATTGGGGAAAAATGGGTGAAGGGTGCATGGGATTGTACCATATTATTTCTTATAACTCCATGTGAATTTACACTTATTCAGAATAAAGTTAAACAAATATACTTAACATTTTTTAAAAATTAAAACAAACAAAAAGATACTAATGAGGGGGTGGAGGGAACTTGGGAGGTGACGGGTATGTTCATGGCCACGGTGGTGCTGATGGTTTCATGGTATATGCACTTATCCCCACCCTCATCGAGATGTAAATATGTACAGCTTGTCACATGTCAGTTATACCTCAATAAAGTTGTTTTTTTTGAAGCTAAACAAATATAGCAGCAGCATCAACTACCACTATTCATCCACTCTATTTCAAATACTGGGCACCTCCCATGTGCCAGGAACTGTTCTAGGTGCTGGGATACAGCAGAGAATAAAACAGACAAAAGCCGGTGCCCTCGTGGAGCTGACTGGCTAATGGACGCTGGCTGGTCCAAGGCTTCATTCAGCCAGATTGTCTCAAACTCAAACTCACAAATGCTAATTACAAAGCATCAGTCTCCCCAAAGCAAGGCTGATTAGGTTCTCGTGGGCTGCTTGACAAGAGTCATGTTTGTGAATAGCAGGCTTTGTCCCAAACGGTGACTGAATGGCCTATTCTTTTCGCTCCACTCTAGTGTTTAGGAATACCTGTTGAATTCAAACCATGCTCTGTTCACACCCTGACACACGCGTGCAAACTCTGACTCCCTTCTCTTTGGATTCTCCCTTGCTCTAGTCTAGAGAGCGTCCAAGCAGCAAGCGCAGGAGTGATTACCACGTGATCGATGCGTCACAAGTCAGCTCGTGCTCCCAGACAAAGACCCTCCTCCCAAGCCCTCCCGTGCCCCGGAGAGCTACAGACGTGGAGGAAGAAGATGCAGGTGGCGGACCGGAAATGGCAGGCCCCGAAGCGCTGAGGGCCACCCCCGCGCCCCCGCGTCCCGGCCCCACGGGTCTCTCCACGATGGCCTGTAACAGCACGTCCATCGAGACCTCCCAGCACCTGCCACCAAGCGCCGGCAACGCGTCGCACGCGGGGGCGCCCCCGCTGCCCGTGCCGCTGCGGGTGTCGCTGGCCATGGCGATGCTGCTGATGGTCACCGTGGGCTTCCTGGGCAACACGGTGGTCTGCGTCATCGTGTACCAGAGGCCGGCTATGCGCTCCGCCATCAACCTGCTGCTGGCCACGCTGGCCTTCTCCGACGTCATGCTGTCGCTGTGCTGCATGCCCTTCGCCGCCGTCACCCTCGTCACTGTGCGCTGGCACTTCGGGGGCTACTTCTGCCGCCTCTCGGCCACGCTCTACTGGTTCTTCGTGCTGGAGGGCGTGGCCGTGCTGCTCATCATCAGCGTGGACCGCTTCCTCATCATCGTCCGGCGCCGGGACAGGCTGAACCCGCGCCGGGCCAAGGCCATCATCGCCGCCTCCTGGCTGCTGTCCTTCTGCATCTCCGTCCCCTCGCTCGTGGGCTGGACGCGGGTGGAGGTGCCGGCGCGGGCCCCCCAGTGCGTGCTGGGCTACACCGAGTCGCCGGCAGCCCGTGCCTACGTGGTGACCCTGGTGGCGGCCGTGTTCTTCGTGCCCTTCGGCATCATGCTGTGCTCCTACCTGTGCATCCTCAACACGGTCCGCAAGAACGCCGTCCGCGTGCACAACCAGTCTGACAGCCTGGACCTGCGGCACCTGAGCGGGGCCCGCCTGCGGCAGCTGCAGCGCCAGCAGCAGGTCAGCGTGGACCTGAGCTTCAAAACCAAGGCCTTCACCACCATCCTGGTCCTCTTCGTGGGCTTCTCCCTCTGCTGGCTGCCCCACTCCGTCTACAGCCTCCTGTCCGTGTTCAGCCGGCGCTTCTACCACAGCTCCTCCTTCTACACCACCAGCACCTGCGTCCTGTGGCTCAGTTACCTCAAGTCCGTCTTCAACCCCATCGTCTACTGCTGGAGGATCAAAAAATTCCGCGAGGCCTGCATGGAGTTGCTGCCCCAGACCTTCCAAATCCTGCCCAAAGTGCCTGAGCGGATCCGCAGGAGAATCCAGCCAAGCACAGTCTACGTGTGCAACGAAAACCAGTCTGCTGTGTAGGCCGGTCGGGGGCAGAGGAGGGTGGCTGGCCCGGCAGTCCTAGTCTGCACCTGGTGGTGGCTATTTAAGCACAAAGGGACTCGTTTGTTACCAGATGAGCTGCGACTCCCAGATTTCACATTTCAGCAAGATGAATTATTTCTGTTTCTCCTTGGCAGAGGTGGGTCTGATGGGAACTGCAAGGTAGTTAAGGCAAAATGGGAGGGGTGGGAGAGTGCAGAGTTGGGCAGAAAGTAGGGAGGAGGAGGGGAGCAGGGGTGATGTCACAGAGGTCAATTCTGCAGTCCCAGCCCCCTCTTCATCTCCATGTGCCCTGAGTTCTGACATGAGAATCCAAGAGGGCACCATCTCACAAGTTCCATCCACTCCATGTGACGCCAGCGTTCTTCAGAGTTATTTGGTGTATGGGGAATCACGCAAGCCTCTTTACGTTGTTCAGATGTGCACTTCTGACCATGCCAAATTATCCTTTCTAGAAAGAAACCAAAATCACACTATGAGTAGAGTGAGCAGAGTGACCCCTGTGCTTTGGAGTTCCCCAGTGTGACGCGTAGGAGGCTTCAGTGGCTCGAGGCCCACAGAATGTTCTGGGGCAGCTCAAATGAGGTGAGAAGCTCACCCAGGCATTCAAGATGTCTCGCCCCAACCTGGCCCAGCCCACCCTGTCCCTGCACCCTGTCAGCCACCCCATCTGCTGGGCAGCCCCTCTGCTCCTCCTCACTTTCCCTCCAGTGTTCTCCATGCCCCCTTTGTGTCATGCCACCCGTTCCCAACATGCAGAAAAAATGCCCCAGTAGCTCATCCATTGGGCAGGTATTCGTAACCCCTCTGCTCCTCCTCACTTTCCCTCCAGTGTTCTCCATGCCCCCTTTGTGTCATGCCACCGTTCCCAACATGCAGAAAAAATGCCCCAGTAGCTCATCCATTGGGCAGGTATTCGTAACCACTTGCTTTCAGCATCAGAAGCAGTCAGTCGCTGGGCTTTGTTTACACTTTTCCTCTGGGCTCCAGAGCTGCTGTGAGCCATCAAGTTCACCTCAGCACTCGAACTGCTGCAGGGGAGGGCAGAACAATCCTGTGCTGCCCGCTGGGTGGTCCCATAGACCTGGTGTTCCTCCTACCTCATTCAGGTCCACTGCTGCCATCTGGCCCACCTGCCCAGGACCTGTCTAGAGAGGGGCCCTTTCCGCTTGCACCCTACACTTGGCTACTATGCCCACAGCCACCGGTCACCACCAGAAGCTTCCGGCATTGGGAGGTGACTTTCTAGAGTTCAGGGCATAACATTGAGTCTGATGAGCTCTCTTTACAGTTTCAGACCTGAAGAGAGTGGGAAATTTATGGAGAAATTCACAAAATCTGATTCCAGGTCTAACTCTATCAGGAACTAGTAATGCGCATGTTTGTTTCACCTCACTTCTCTGGGCCTCAGTTTCCCCATTTGTCAAGTGATCTCCAACATCCCTTTTATCTCTCACTCTGATTCTAAAATGTGTGTTTTCTACCCATAGTCACCAGATCCCCTGCATTCATTTATTCGTCCATCCAATGAGCGCTTATTAAGTGCCTAGTAGATACAAGGCACTGCGGTGGAGACAGTGATGAGTGAGGCATGGGTTGTCCCCAAAGCAGTTGTCTGATCTATCTCAGGACAGTGTAACTCAAATTCAGCCTAAGAGCACAAAGATCCACTTCTGCTTCAGTTCTTATTTCTCTCCACGTTGTCTTGAGAGGCCAGCTCCCCATTCTCACAGTGTATTCTCGTGCTAGTGGTGACAGAGGCAGGGAAGCAAGGGCAGTGACTGATAAGAAGACGGAATTTACACTAATCTAAGTCCAGGGGAGGGTTTGTCAAGAAAACGACTGACACCTGTTCTCACCAAGACCACCTTCCTTTTATACCCAGATGAAGATAGAGAAGACAGGCAATTAGCACATGATTGATTGAGGTAGGTCCCCTCAATTCTGTGTCTCAAGTGCCCCCCGCAAGACCAGGGTTTGCCTTTGGCTCCCATGGGGCAGGTCGCAGGGTCCAGCAGTGCCCAGGAGCACAGCCAGGCCGTGGAGGGGACAAGCCCCAGGACACCTCCTCTCCAGTGGGCATATAAGAGAATTTTCTTCAGGAGCCTTGAGCAAAAGAGAAACTACAAAACTGAATGAACAAAGGTACCAAAATTTACATCAATCAGTGTTGTATGGTGTACATTGGATAGTAATATATATGTTTCAAAGTAATAATTTTGTATATATTTTAAATAAAGTATTATTGCTCTTTCAGTGTATAAGACTATATTCTTGCCAAAATTCCCACCAAGACCATGAGTAGTAAGCCCAGAATCCAATGCCCGACACCCCAGTATCAGTCCATTCAGGCTGCTATAACAAAATACCTTAGACTGGGTAATTTATAAACAATAGAAATTCATTTCTTACAGTTCTGGAGGCTGGAAGTCCAAGATCAAGGCTCCGGCAGGTTTGATGTCTGGTGAGGGCTGCTCTCTGCTTCACAGATGGATGTCTTCTCACTGAAACCTCACATGGCAGAGTGGCAGAGGGGAAGGGAAGCTTCCTCGAGTCTCTTCTATAAAGGCACTAATCACATTCACGAGGGTGCAGCCCTCATGACTTAATCACCTCCCAAAGCCCCACCTTTTAATACTATCACACTGGGTATTAGGTTACAGCATATGAATACTGGGGGTCACCAATATTCAGGCCATAGCAACCCCCTAAGGCAAACCAACTTTAGAAAGTCTAGAGCTTGTAAGTTACTAGCAAAGCTGGACAGACTAACAAGGATGCAACAAGATGACAACTAGGAGACTGAGCAATGGGGGTCACAACAAGGGCGCCCATGTTCTTTTGTTTGTTTTTTATCATGGCCGTGCTGAGTAACTCCAGCCAGCTAGCCTTCACCTCTGACTTGCAGCTTGCCCCCGCTTCATGCTTCTCCCTGGCTTTGACGAACCCTTATTGAACTTCAATTTCCTAAGCCACCAAGTAAATATTTAGTTCTGGTCTCCTTCCTCGAGGCTTGCAGGGCAAACACTGCTTTATTGTTTTATTATTTTTTCATCCTCTCTGTAGCTCCAGGGTTCACCCAAATGCTGGGCTCTGTGTGAAGTCGACTTGTTTCTGTGGAGCCGAGGGCAAGAGACAGAAACCAGAGGTGAGCGCCCAGGCTCTGCGAGACAGGCCAGCCATAGAAATGAGACACAAGTACATCTCAGAAGTCACCCTAATCATGACTACCCCACAAAGTGCCACTTTTCATCTTGAATCTTGGTCCCCACAGTCAAGGTGAAATAAAAGCAAAGGTTCCCTAGGACGTTCTCACAGCCAAGATGAGCAATAAAAATCTAGATCCATTCTTCCCTTGCCATTCTGAGCCCTGGGTGTATTTTCCCGCACATGACTCCCGGTGACACTGTTTGGACTGACAATCCCTATGTCATGTGTTTTCGACTTTGCGCTGTTCTCCCTGCTCCCATGGTCAGCAGCCTGGCCTCAGAGCCCTCGCGGTGGCAACATGCCCAGCGCTCAGGCTCTGCTCTTCTTGAAATGCAGGGGCAGGGGAGTAGGTGCTCCAGGCTGGGACAGGCCCAACCCTGGGGCTGCCTGGCTGCCCGTGATTCTGCACCCCACCTTCCTCATCTCAGCAATGGCAGACATGCTCCCAGTCAGAGGGCCATGGTGAGGAGCAAATGAAACAATGTACGTAAAGGACCGAGTCCAAAGCATGCTCCACGGTAGACGCTGAAGATAGAGGGGAAGTAATTATTGCACATGTACTGTCAATCTGTTTTACAGCCGAGGTTTGTCCTTTTGGAAGCAAGGGTGGAAATTTGTTTCGGAAAGTGGCTGTTAGGTCCTTCTGGAGAAAGAAAAAACCAACAAAACAAAACAAAACAAACAAACAAAAAACCCAAGCAATTCTCTAGCGGATACTGGCTGGAGAATTTCATTCTGACACTATCTACCTGGAGACAGCGTCAGATCCCACATGTTGAGGACTTAGTCCCACAAGTCTGCCCCCCACTTCCCATGCCAGTTGCAACAAGTAGGTTATCACCTGTACTTCTGGCCGACAGGCTGTAAGTCAGGGGTTCCCATGACCACCTGCTCAATCCAATTAGTTGGCTAGGATGGCTCACAGAACTCAGGGAAACACTCTACTTACATTGACCTATTTATTATAAAGGATATTACAAGGATACAGATGAACATTCAGATGGAAGAGATGCATAGGGCAAGGTATGAGGATAGGGCAGGGAGCTTCCACGCCCTCTCCATGCCACCTGCCTGACACCTCCACCTGTTCAGCAACCAGGAAGCTCTCCAAACCCTATCCTTTTAGGTTTTTATGGAGGCTTCATCACGTAGTCATGATTGATTACATCATTGGCCATTGGTGATCAACCCAACCTTCATGGTCTCCCTTGCCCCGGGTTGGGGAGGTGGGGCTCAAAGTCTTAACTAAATGTCATCTTCTCTAACTTAGACAACATCCATTGTCAATCACTAGCATTTTATTATATTTTGTATTTTTTGTAGGCCACCATAATTTATGCCATGTACTTTGTGAAAATATGAGTTAAAACAAAAGAAACAAAGCCATTCATAAGTTGTACAAATAGTCCATATACCATATTATAATGCTGTAGGGGGGGGGGGGGGGGGGGGGGGGGGGGGGGGGGGGGGGGGGGGGGGGGGGGGGGGGGGGGGGGGGGGGGGGGGGGGGGGGGGGGGGGGGGGGGGGGAGAAAGTTCCAACCTGGCTTGGTCTCTCTGGTGACCAGCCCCCATCCTGAAGCTACCTAGGGGCCCCCAGCCACCAGGCATCTCATTAGCATACAAAACACACTCACCACTCTCAGGATACCAAGAGTTTTAGAGCTGTGTGCCAGGACCCAGGGCATAGACCAAATGTGTATTTACTACATCACAATATCACAATCCCTTTCTTCATCCTTAAGTTGCCTAAGATTTCAGGGTTCGGTT